AAACAATGAAAAAGATTGGGAAAATGAAACGAACCACAAACTGAAAAGGGATTGAAGAGGGTGAAGACAAGAGCAGAGCACCTCTTGCCAATAAGAAGGCAAAAAGGATAAAGATCTCACTGCACTCTTTCGCTGAGGGGTTGGTTTGTATTTATAGAGGGAAAGATGCCCATGCCATGACCTCATGTATGGGGTTATTTCAGGGCCCTGGCTGAAAGAATCTTGATGGGTCGCGAATTCAAAAATACCACAATTTCAAACTTTAGTGATGAAAGTTTCAAAGTTATACTTTTATATTTCAGGGTAAATTGTATATAATCTTCTTGCTTATAATCTCTGGACTTTCTGTTAGTAATCATCACCTCATGAGAACAAGTTACTCTCAAATGTCAAACGCAGATATTGTAAGTGACAAGTGATATTAATAATGGAGGAATCATAAGCACAACTGAGAGTATAGGTAACAACTATGGTATGTAATTCATAATTTATTCTAATTTGTCCTATTTCGTGACAAAACTTGATTATTTTTACATCTACAAGTTCTTTTTTAAATGTAAGTTTGATAAAATCTGAGTATGCTTTTTTCCTTCAAAAACTTCTTATGTTATATCAATCAACATTTGTAGGCGTCTAAAAATGCCTATAGGTATCCACACACAGCTCGAGACAGAGAGAAGACGACGGACATTGTTATCCGAGTCTAAGAGGATTATCTGACGCCGACAAGCGCCTGAAGCAAAACGGCGAATCAAGTGACCTGCGCGCTTGACAGTCAGCTCGCGCGCGCCAATCAGCTCGCATGCGTCAATCAACACGCACGCGTCAATCAACTCAAAGCATATAAATCAACGAAGCGAACCAAACACGCGAAAGGACAAGTCTCAAAGAAAGAGAACGGAAAAGAAGAAAAAAATCAACAAACCTGCGCGAGCCATGACAGAACAAACTGACCTGCGCGAGCGCGGGACGGAACAAACCGACCCGCGCGAGCGCGGGTCAAAGGCCTCCATTTTTCAGGGGCGATTGATTATCAAGACGAGGAGGTGCTGCCGGATTGTGGAGTCAAAGGAGCACGAATTTCAGCGAGGGTTGACAGATCTTGGCGAGTTCTTCGGCATAAAGAAGGAGAGTTCGAGAGATCCGACGCCCGTTCCCGTCCGTCCCTTGAGATTAGGCTTGGTCTTAATCTCGAGAAGAGCCTTGATTTCGCTTGGTCGATTTCAGCGCTTCAAATCAAATACTTCCTCGGCGAAGGCGAAGCTCTGCCAAATTTTTCATCAACCGGATCCAGATCTAAGGCGGTCCACGGATAAACCCCGGCACAGGCAAAGATCCCACGCAAAGCAGCGGGTGATAAACGTCCTCTGCGTTTGTTTTGACGAGAGTTGTAAACTTTTGTTTTCATTGTGTAAAAGTCTTATAAAAAGACAATCTTTTTTTGTTTTCATTGTAACGATTGAAGTTGTAATGAATACCGCAATGAATACATTAATTTTCGACGCAAACAAACTGGCGACCACAGTGGGAGCCAACAGCTTCGCTGCCGGAGCTGTCGTGTCGCAACCTCGGATCTGCATCCCGGTTGAAGAAGTGGTCGAATACGAGTTTGACCAACTGAAGTTCGAGGAATATCTGTCGTCCTCCTCCTCCAGATCCTCCGCCTCTCGCAAGCGAAGGAAGATCAACGCCCCCGTTGTTGCGGTAGCTGAACCTTACAACGCCCTTCCGGCCTCCAATAAGTCCGGATCTGCAGATCTGAACTCCTCCTCAATCAAGGAGTTGAGTACAGAAGGCGCGCCTATTTTATCAAAGAGAACTCGTCAAAGGCAGCGCCAACGCTGTGCGCGCCAACTCGCTAGAGCCTTGGAGTCAATTGACGGGATTCGTTACGAGGCGGATCTGAAAATTAGGCAACGCCAAGCACCCCAACAGCGGACAGATGTCCTCCCCTCCAAACCAATAGCAAATGAATGGATCCAAATCAAAAGAATCCGTTCAACTCTGGAGGAGCGAATTCAAAAGCGTCGCGCGCTTGCGCGCACGCGAATTCTTGTGCAAAAAGCACAAAAGATGCAGAAGAAGGACATAGCTAAGAAACAACCAAGACTGCATCAAACTTGGAGGCCAAAATCCAAAACGGCGGCCGAAAAGATCGAGAATCGCGGGTCACTTGAATCCGACCCGCCGGCGCGCGGGTCACTGTAGGTCACTTCAATCCGACCCGCCAATTTGCAGGTCACTTCAATCCGACCCGCCAAAATGCAGGTCACTCCAATCCGACCCGTTAATTTGCGGGTCACTTCAATCCGACCCGCCAAAACGTAGGTCACTCCAATCCGACCCGCCAAAACGCAGGTCACTCCAATCCGACCCGCCAATTTGCAGGTCACTCCAATCCGACCCTCCAATTTACAGGTCACTTGGAACCAACCTTCCAAATCGCAGGTCACTTGGATCCGACCTTCCACTTTACAGGTCGCTTGGATCCGACCTTTCAAATCGCAGGTCACTTGGATCCGACCCTCCACTTCGCGGGTCACTTGAATCCGACC